ATAGTTAACCTTTTTTTCCATATTGTTGTGATTGATAATCACAGCAGCACATTCTTTGATATCTTAACATTTACCTAGTCCAGTACATGTTATCATATATACAAAGCCGGTGTCTGGACTGGTCCTTACCTTATTTGGTACCTGTTCCTAGACTCCTCTCCTACTCTCTCTCTTAGTGATTCTGAGCTGGGTTGGCCTCTTCTTGCTGGAGAAGCTGTTGGGATCTCCCTCTCTGCTGCCACTTCAGAATGTGCAGAATGTACAGAATAAAGTCAGACAGGATTGATTGTGTGCCATGTTTTTTTGGTGCAAAATTTTAAAATTAGGCTGGAGGTTGTTATTGTGAGTTTAACTGTTACAAATGTTCCCATGTAATGATTTTAAAAGTCACACACACACACACACACACACACACACACACACACACACACACACACACACATTTCCTTAAAATAAAAATAATAATTTCTGTACATGCACAATATGTTCCTGACTGACATCTCCCTCACCCTAGTCAATACTAAGGTGGGATAATTTAACACATGTATGTTTTCTTTAGACCATAAATGACAGAAAGCTGCATAACATTTGTCTTGTCTTATCAATGAAAGCATGTGTAGTAATAAAAATAACATAAACTATGGTTGTGACCCATCTTGAGGCCTGTACAGTCAATCTCGCAGCAGCAGAGAGCATCAGATAATGCTCTCAATGACTTAATATTATACAACAATGAACACATTCACTCAATGTAACACCACTATAGTTGAATTGTACTCACGCCATTTGCAGTGTAAGAATTTTAAGGAAACAGTCTTTTTTGATGCTCTATTTCAAAACCTTAAAACAGGATTTTAAGCATTGCATTGTTAATCTATGGGCGTTTAATAATTCAATTGGCGTGTAACAAGCACCCAGCTTTGTGGCTCTGCACATGCTCAGTAGCTCATTCGCGACATAACACTTGACTGAATCTATCAAGGTTTTAGACAAAACAAAAATTATGTAAAACAGGCACAAGGCTCAGAAAATTCTGGCATTTTCTCTGCAAGTGACCTAGTAAACAAAGCAAGCAGCCAATACTAGCAACACAAGATCCTTAGTCTTCAATAAATACACAATAAAACTGCTGCTTGAATTAACGTTACCATAGCAACACTGTAGGAAATGTTTTGCTAGCTTACCAGATATGTTTGCCAACACGCACACACACAGTAACAACAAAAGTAAAGCTACATGTTTATGTGTCACAGCTGATGCATATGGCAGACTTTATATCACCAGCTTACCTGTGAGATGTCACGTTTTTATTTGGAAGTTAGTTTTTTGGGGGTGCTCATACGAACGTCCATTATGTTTCCCGCGCAACTAACCTGCTTCAATTCATGAGATCAAACAGCGACAGCGACACCTGCAGGTGAATGATGAGTACTACAGAGACTCAAAAGAAGAACACCAGTCACACACAAATGGTGACATATTTGTAGAAAACAAACTGAGCAATCATTCATTCATTCATTCATTCGACCTTTGTTTATCGAAGGGTAATGGCAGTGTCAATGATGTCTAGAGTGAAATTCAAACTAATATGATTAAAAAGAAAGAAAAAAATAATAAATTATTAGCAATGGGAAATTATGACATTCATGTGACACATTTCATGTTCTCCGGGAGTTGTTTGCTTTCTTTTGCAAATTGAAAATGTGCATATAAACATGCCTTCAAAGTCAACACATGAAACATATAATACACCCCCTCCCGTTTGCCACCAAGAACTCTGGACAAATAACTCTGAAGCTATCTATTCAAAAGTACACTCAGTTCACATTGCACATATTGCACATTTCAAGTTTACGTTTTCTTTTAATTTAATTTTATTTACCACTTTGTTTTGTACCTTTTGCACTATTTAGAATTTATTACTGTAAATAATATTTAGCTTATTTTACCATATTTTATTGTATCTATTTTACGTTATTTGATTTTATCTTATTTTACCTTATTTTGGTTGTATTGCACCGTGGGACGGACACAAACGCAATTTCGATTCCACTGTATGTCTGGCATATTTTAAAATTGACAATAAAGTTGACTTTGACTTTGACTTTGACTACACTTTGCTAAACAAATTCACAGTGCAGTAACAACATAGACATGAACACAAATCAAAAGGGCTCACGTACATTATTTCCACTCATAGGACTTTCAAATCTATTTCCTCAACATTAAAACATATTTAGTTGTGCAACATGTTGTGCTGCAACTTCTGTGAGAGATGCTCTTTCCCCCTGATGTGCTCCAAACACAACGGTCTACTAGTACTTTCATATTTCTAAAGTCAAACAATGGAAACTGTTCCAACATGTTTTACTCCTTGTTTATGGTCCAGTCAGTCAGGTGAGATCAAAAATGTGTAAGAATTCAGAGACATGACCAAACAGCCAAGTTAGGCGAGGACAACATCATAACATGATCAAAAATATGTTTAATGTTGATTATATCACATCATTTAAAATAACACAAATACACTACAGGACATAAACACATCTAAAAGTAAAACTATCCCAGTTTAAACTAACCTGGATAATCTCAGACACAGCAAGAAACACATTTTATTTTGCATTCATTTACATGAGGTTTGTCTCTCAGACAACTTTGTAAAATGCGTCACAAGACTTAATATAACCCACTATCCTTGTTCAAACACAACTTTTAGGTACATCAATAAGAGGTGAAGAAGCCTTTTCTTCTGAGTCTGTGGTTACAAGTCATGTGTTGTTCTTTCTCTGTCTTTATCACTTCCTTTTCACATCCACATCATCTTTAATTGTATGCTTTAAAACCCGCATTCCCAGATCTGATCAGATATCAGATGACATCCCATGAGTCATTTTAGTTGTTAAAGTCTAACCAGACTCTTGTGGCACTTCTTTGGAGCCCACCTGACACAGGGGGCGGCGGTAGCTGGGAGATGTGCCAGTCCACTTCCTGAACACTGCCAAGGTGCCCTTGAGCAAGGCACCTAACCCCCCCACCAGCTCAGGAGCTCCCTCACTCTGAAACCTCTCCATTAGTGCATGTCCATAGGATCCTGTTTGTGCATGTGTGTGTATTTCAGCCTATGTTTGTGTAGCATGTTAACTAGACAGAGTGTAAAAACAAATTTCCCCTCACGGGATCAATAAAGTATACATTATTATAAAAGGGGTTTCATGATAATAAGGAAATAAAGCGCGGTGTGTGGAGGCTTTAGTCCTCCGGCGGGCCCGGGTTTGAATCTGGCCTGTGGCTGCATGCCATTCCCCACTCTCTCTCTCCCTGATTTCTGACTTCATCCACTGTCCTATCTCTACAATAAAGACACAAAAAGCCTCAGAATACATCTTTTAAAAAAAGTTTTGTTCTCATCACATATCCAAAGTTTTATGGAGACACACAAAGAGGCTGAGCTCTAGCTCTGGACATCACTAAAAACAAGTGCTGAGACTTCTGAAGTGACTTCATAAAGGGTTACTCTGGGTTAGATCTCGACCACAGGAGCTCTGTAAGTAAACACAAGGTGTTTGAATTCAGATATCAAATATTACCACCTATTCAAATGTACTCAATTTAACCTTGTAAAGTAGGCTACACATTTCCAAGTAAGACAGAAGAAAATATATAGTTTACTATACTAAGTCAATAACAAGAGGAAAAAAATATAATTGACAGGAATTGTCATTTGAAAACAGATTAAGGAAAGAGTTCAAACACTGACCTTTCTCAGAAGTGAACTGCTTCCTGCTTGAGTCACACATCACGTGCAGACGTACAGTAGATAGTGCAGACACGTGCACGCTTTACTGTTTATTATCAGACACACAGTGACCTACAAACCAACATTGTGGCAGTAAACGTCAAGTGAGGCACGTCAGCGTCATTAAGCTGTAAATATGACACACACAGGAGAGGTCATAAATGTTTAAAGACTAAGCATCGAAGTTTATTCTTCAGCTCGGAGGCAAATAATCTCACTAATCATCTTCTGCCCTTTTAATCACATCTCTCAGTCTTCCTCAGCAGATGGAGTTTTGCAGCCAGACAACCCAGCCGAACATAGTTTGTGTTTGACGTCTATATGGCTCCGACCTAATCACTTCTCACAGTTTCAATTTACCTGCAGACATTTAAGGAGTGATGGGATGATATTTAAACCCCTCAGTCGGAGCCTACAGGTGGATGCTGGGGTGGAGGAGGTGGGGCGGAGCACGAGTGCTGTACTGCTGCAGGTCAGAGCAATGAAAGAGCAAACAGGGAGGGACGGGAAATCTTGCATCTTAAATAGACTAATTAGAAAGAGGTGTTGTCAGGTGATTGTTAAGAATGAAGCATGTCAAGTCTGAAATCAGTGCAGCTCGAGCTGACAGCCTGAACTAGCTCGCAGGCGTCGCCTCGTTTATTGTAAAGAGGTTGAAGCAGGAAGTAATGTGGGTTGAACCTTCTGGCAAAAAAAGAGTTCAGTCAGTATCACTTTTTCAAGTAAATTACTTTTTCACAATTATTTGTATTTGGCGGTATGGCTCTGTCTGGGAGATAAGCAGGCACACCCAAACAGAGCAGGCATCAATGACAAGCATGTCATTGATTAAGTCAGAACAGCAGAAAAGGAGGAGCTGGGGTGGAGGAGAGTTGCAAATGTGGCTTGCAAAGGGAGCAGCAGTTTAAATAAGGCGGCATATGTACTATTTGGCCAATAGGACGCTTTGACGCAAATCAGCTGGCCATCAGCTGATGCAGCTTGCGTGAGATCAGCTGTTACCAAAACTCAGGCCTGATAGTAGAGCGTGATGCCGTGACCTGCCTAAACTAACGCTACGCTCCATATTTAGATACATGTTTTGCAGGTGCATTGTAGAGTGTGCATTATGTTCTGCAGTAGGAGTCAAACTTGGCTTGAAATGTTTGCTTCATCAGTCGGGATCAAAGCAGATAAGTGAAGAAAAATAACTCAGAAACGAAACCTCTTTGAGCAAATGTTGTTTTATTACTGCAAATAAATAGTTTGATTCTGTTCAAGACAAACATTTAAGCTGAGCTAGACTATAAAAAACAATTAAAGATCGCATCCATTTCATTTATACATTCCTTCGGCTTTGTGTTTTTATTTTATTAAAAAAAATGTTTCTTGATCAGTAAGTTTCCTCAGAGCCTTAGATTTAAAGTGCATAGTCTGTTCGAAGGTAAGAACGGCCGATTCATACAAAATGTGGGTTTATCTTCATGTTGACCAGGAACTCATCAGTCACTCATTCTGTGGAGATAAAAAACAAACATATTTAATAAAAATTAATTAAACCTGTAGACAATAAGAGTCCACGTCTTATGCAAAGTTTAATAATAATAATAATTTTATACTTTATTGATCCTGTGAGGGGAAATTCGCTTTTACACTCTGTCTAGTTAACATGTTACACAAACATAGGCCGAAAGGTACACACATGCACAAACAGGATCCTATGGACATGCACTAATGGAGAGGTTTCAGAGTGAGGGGGCTGCCCACAGTGGGTGCTCCTGGGTTGGTGGGGGGGGTTAGGTGCCTTGCTCAAGGGCACCTCGGCAATGCTCAGGAAGTGGACTGGCACCTCTCCAGCTACCAGACCAATTTCCGGAAGTCCCTACAGACTGAGCTACTGCCGCCCCAGAAAGTTTGTACAGATTACCGGGCACAGATGTAGAGTCTATATCGATGCCACAGAGTCTTCCATCTATATAGCATTGTCATACTTTACCTGCATTTGTGTATACACCCAGTCGATAAAATAGGTAACGTTGCCGTAGACACCTGGCTTGTTCCTCCAAGCACATCCAATCCCCCAGCTGGTGTCCCCTGCCAGCCACCATACATTCCCCTCCTTGACCACCAGGGGTCCTCCACTGTCACCCTGCAGCCCACAGGACATAATAACATCCTTTAGTGTGAATGTGTGGGTGTATGTGTGTGCGTGAGGGCCAGAAAGATTCATCTCAGACTAACCTGACACGAATCGACTCCTCCCTCCAGTTTACCGGCACAGATCATCGTCTCGCTGACTTGTCCGTCCAACACCTGAGGTATGTTACAGGTCTCTCTTTTGTAAATGGTCACCTGAGCCTGATTCATTTTGTCCGGGGATGGTCCTGTGATAAAAAAACAATATACCCTCAGTTAGCTCAGTGATGTATTAAAAAAAGCTCATTTCTTTTTTGTACTTTAAGCTTTAAAGACAGGTGAACCTTGACACGTTAACAAATAATCTACAGGAAGGAATAGCAGGAAGTGCTCAGAAATGATTGTGTTCAGTATGCTCTCAATTTCACTAGCCATAGAAAGTTGGATATCCTGTTGTAGCCTTCAACTGATAAGGGGTACGGCTGGCAAACCATTAAAGACGTGTACCAAATATAAAGAGAGAGAAAAGCAATGATGAATAAACTACAGGTGTTCTTTACAGTTAATGCTAACGAAGCACAATGTTCATTTCCAAGGCTTCAAGGCCAGTGTCCACAGTGCTCGCGTCCTCCGTTTCCGAGTGCTTCTCACCAGCGCTCATTGTTGCTGGGTTATGACAGTAAACTTCTGGCTGCTTCTCTCAGTAATGTCCGTAAGGTGTTTTATTTTTATTTTTAGTTTAAATACATTTTAAATATCTCTGTGTCAATAATATTTGCTTTAACTTCAGGAAATATCACAAAGAAAACTTGAAGGAGTCGTGTCCTGGCATCAGCAGATCTACACCTGGAAATGATACCCTCAAAAGGACGAGTCAGACTAGCATCTCCTTCGACATTGTTGTTGACAAAGCTGATGTTGGAAGTCCGGCCCCGCCTTGATTCTGATTGGTCAGTAAGGGAGAAGTGACATTGACGAGCACGGCTGCTCCGGGCGCTGAGCGCTGAACTACATTGGTTTTGTTTTGAAACTGAGCGCTGCCAGTGCAGACAGCTTTGTCTGTGTGTACACAGACCGTAAATCAAATAATTATGTAGTCATGTTATTTTCCATTCTTTCATTATATGTAAACAAACTGTATTTTGTAGTAACATGTAAAGGCCAAAGTATTCTTTTGCGTTCTCAGGACCTCTTTATGCTCTCTGTCCCAAACGCTCGGACAGAAATTGGGAAAAGGGCTTTTGGGTATTCTGAACCCTCAGCCTGGAATCTGTTGCAGAATGACTTAAAGCTCAAGGAGCTGGTGTCCTTAAATGTTTTTTAAATCTAAAATGAAAAACATGCAAGCAGATTCTACAGGATGTCGTTGTTTTAGCTCGGCTGTTTGAACAACTGATTCCCAGATATGACTCATAGATGGTTCTATTTTAATCCAAAATTTAATGTTTTGTAAATTGTACTGTGTCTCTCTTTGTATTTCCGTCTGTAACTTTGTGTTTTTGATGCTGCCTGTCTTGGCCAGGTCTCCCTTGAAAAAGAGGTTTTTAATCTCAATGGGACCAACCTGGTTAAATAAAGGTTAAATATATATATATTTTTTTAATTTTCTCTAAAACATGTGACTGCAAATGTTTCAAAATTGTCTTGTTAAGAAAAACAGGAATTCTGTCGAGGGTTTTTCATTTGAAACAAGCACATGTAATAAAACCATCTTAAGGCAGGAACTTCAATAGGTCAAAGAAGAGTGGATCAGGAAGCAGCCATGTTGTTAAACACTGCAGCTTCATAAGTCGCCCAATTCATAAGATGATGAGAATGTAAGAGGCTCCCCTTATGTGCTTATTGTCTTCACGCTGTCCTGACATATTATAAAGAGTGTGACAGTCGGTTTCAAGTGGAGGTTTAATGTGATGGATCACTAAAACTAATACAGGACCAACACATTCAAAACTACACCATCAATCATCCGGCTCACCAGATGAGCGTAAAGCTCCCCATCCTGTAATCCAGGCCTGACGTTCAGCAGAGAGGACAACGTTGATGTTGGGCAGACACACAGGCCTCACCATGTCTAAAACACACACACACACACGCACGCACGCACGCACGACGCACGCACGCACGCACGCACGCACGCACGCACGCACGCACGCACGCACGCACACACACACACACACACAGGTAGTTTATAGTCTCGCTGCAGTAATGAACTCACAGCTCGTACCATTATTTACTACATGAATTGAGAGTTTTATGAGGTGGAACTTACTTGAAAAAGTCAGAGGTGAACTGAGCTTTAAGAGAGCAATGTCATTGTCATTCGTTAGCGTGTCAAACTTTTCATGAGTGATGATTTTGCGGACAGTTTTGCTGTCACCAAGGCTCATTCTGATCAAGCTCACGTCACCAGAGTATACTCGCCACCTTCCAGTATAGGAGAAAGCACTGAGTGGGAAAATAACAAACAGGGAGAACACAAATATCAGATTCCTTACTGAATGACCGTCAAAATGAAATAATAATTAATAATAATAACGAGAACAAATGAACTAATGGTATGAAGCTGTGCTCAGGTGTAGAGACTCACTCTTGGAAGCAGTGTGCAGCAGAGAGGATCCATTCAGGGCTGATAATGGAGCCCCCACAAGCGTGTTGACCATCAATTTGGAGACTGACCTGCCACGGCCAGGCCCCGTTCACTGCCTCCGTACCACCGACGATACGAGAGCTGGGTGCTGCTGAACTCTCACCACATTCTGGGGACGAGGGGTGAACAAAATGAAAAAAAATAAAAAATGATGTTAGGTTAACGATCGCATGTATTTGGCCCCCTTACAGAGAAAGGGTACAACTAATAAAAACATAACAAATTACAAAAATGAATGAGGATGTCAGTTGTGTAATAGTGTCCCGGTGTAGAAGTAACTTACCAATACATTTAAGGCTGACAGCTCTGACTGAGCAACCCTTGCTGCAATGGAAAAGAGGACAATAGGTAAAAAAAAAAGCAAAAAAAAGAGAGCAGTAAATCCAACGTTAGGGAATATTATTGTATAATTCACACTATGTAGATAGTTGGACTGCTACGAAGCCCCTGAAGTCCCAAAAGGTAAAAAAAAATATATATATCTTAAACACATAAAATATGTTTTTGTACTTTTTGGGAATTTAGGGGCTCCGTAGATTGCAACTAGTGCCGATACTTTGCATTTGAATCATCATAGCAAGAGGATCATGCAGAACATACAAACTGTAAAGAAAAGTATTTGTCCAAACAGATGAAGCACAAGCAGTCTGTGTGTGGATATTATCAAGAATGTTAGGACTTTTTTTTTAACACATTTGCAGATTCATGCACGCATTTTTGGATCCATTAACACATTTATTTGTTTTGCTTTTTTTGCAGTAATGTCTCCACAGCTGTCAGCTGCCCTGAGGTTTGTTAGTTTGCACCTAATCCTGCCCTTCTGCGTTGTGATTGGCTGGCACTCATTGACGTGAAAAGATCATCATTTGAGTTCAAATATGAAGTGTATGTTGACATTTGGTTTCACAGAGAACACAAACTGTGCTGTCCTGTGTGAAAGTTTTCTACCCAGTCACAGCGCAGTGTAATTAGGCTGAGCTCTGAAGACGCTATGTTTCTGAGCATGATGGTTTCAAAAGGACAAAAAAGTGAGGAGAGTGTGGTTGTGCAGAAGACCATGTGGTAAAAAAGAACAACTCTTCTGCTATTGTGATATAGACTGACAGACGATATGTGCAAACACAGGTGTGAAACATGCCGCACAGTCGACAGAATAAGGAACCATCGTGCATCAATATGCAAACTTAAATATTTATTTATTTATTGCACATCACATCTTCAGGGAAATATAGAACAATGTAATCACACATCACCCTGCAGTCACGGTGGTGTTACCTGTGCATGAGCTGTGACTGTATGCGTGAGCCGTGGTTACTTTCAGACTTCAGCTTCATGTACCCGTCAGAGGCCACAGATCCTGCGTTGGTTTGTGTGGAGGACACATAATCAGTCCTGTGAGATGGAAAACATGAAAAGAAAATCAGCCAACTGTGATAGACATCTAATAGATCTATTGATATTCAGCCTTAAAGGTTTAGGAGGAGAAAGGTTATTCTCCTCCTTTTCATCCAGTTTAAATAAGTCTCAGAGCTCCTTAAAACATGTCTGTGAAGTTTCTTGTAGTAAATCCACTCTGATCCTGTATTTGATCATGTCTATAAACCCCTCTATTTCAGCCCTGCTAAGAAGAGGCTGTTTCTTATTCTCCTCCTTTTCATCCAGTTTAAATAAGTCTCAGAGCTCCTTAAAACATGTCTGTGAAGTTTCTTGTAGTAAATCCACTCTGATCCTGTATTTGATCATGTCTATAAACCCCTCTATTTCAGCCCTGCTAAGAAGAGGCTGTTTCTGTGTCTGTACCTTTAAATGTAAATGAGCTGTGTTTGACCACGCCCCCTCTCTGGAAGAGGATCTGACTCGGGCTTTCCATGATCTATTGTTTACGGTGAGAAGGCAGACTCAGAAGGCAAAAACTCAGTGGGGGGCAACCAGTGTTGATTATTATTTCCTTTTTTTTCCCACCCCAAGCGATCTCCTTTTAATTTTCCTTCATTGAGAAATTTTGGTTTTCACAGGAATAATGCTGCGACGCTTAGCAGGACATTGAGAGTGAGTGCTGTCAGATGGGGCCCAATTAGGCAGGTTTCCTACTGTCGTTGCAAAATTTGTACATTATGAGGCAATGCTTTGGTTTAAAGTTTGTCAGCCTGGGGCCCCAAGCAGTTGCCTGCCTTGCCTGTTGACAAGCAGCGCCTGAGCTGTGGGAGTGTTAACCAACTGCGGATAGGTTACCGCCCTTTGTGATGTCATGAAGGGAAAATCTCCAAACAGCCTGTTTGAGCACAAAGACGGAGAGGATGGACTTTTCTCATAATTGGGGGGTTTGTAGACAGACTAGGGGAACATATTAGTTTTGGAAAACCATGGTGAAGTGTATTGTGCATAATATGTGACCTTTAACCTTTTCAGTCAGTGTAGTACTTCTACAGAGGGGGTAGCAAAAACATCCATCCAGAAGACTAGCTTCACCTCTTGTATCCGATGTGTTCACACACAGCTCGCCCATAGTTGTTGTCCCAGTTTTCAGCGCACACCGGCATCCACTTCTGGTTGTCAGAGGAGAAACTTTCCAGCAGGAAGTTTGTCCCACGAAGCCGAACTGTGACGCAGACAGAACGGTGCTTTAGTAACTCGGCTTTATAACTATGTGTAATGTTTAGGGTTTTTGATTGAATGTCTTACAGCACCGAGCTTCATCTTCTCCATGAGTACAGTCCTTCACTCCGTCACACCACTGAGACATACTCAGACACTTCCCTCCAGTCTGACACGACCTCCCCAGTAAACACTGGTAATATACTGAACAAACACATGTACACATAAATACAGGAACACACAGGTTTCTGATGATCTTTCACGCGATGACTAAAAATATTTTCAGAAACTTACAGAAGTACCAGAGCAGGAGTGCGATAACTGCCAGGACAAGGAGCACACACAGGGACGCACACAGAATGATTTTCCCGTGGCATTTCTTTCTACCTGTAAGGCAAGATACAAAAAGATTCACTGACAGAACTGATACGAGTTATTTTAAGTGTTACATAATAGAATGCAAATTACAGGCCTTATAGGATTTACATCTACTTCAACATGCAAATATCCGGCTTAGAAGACACTGAACTACAGACATGACATGCCAGAAATTCACTGAGGTTCAAAAGTCGGACACAGTCTTAAATTCTTTCAGCATTTTATGGTTTTTATTGCACCAATGTCTGTCCATGTTTTGAAATGAACACTAGGGTCACCTGTGCAATTGTGGAAAAATAGAACAGGAAATGATGTGCAATAAAAGATAAAACAATAGCATCACAACAGAGTCATAAAGCAAGATCACTTCTGTGTAATAGCGCTATATATGACTTGGCACTATACAAATAAAGATTGCTCGGCCGATTGATTGATCAAATTGTTTCTAGTATAAAAGGTTTTTATTTGGAAAGGAATAAGATGTACTTTCTGCCTATGTCACTCACAATCAACAGTCTGAGTCATGTTCAGTGTTTAAATCATAAATATGGGGCAGAGGTAGCCTAGTTGTTAGTGCGCGCGCCCTATGTACAGAGCGGACGGCCCAGGTTTGAATCCGAGCTGAAGCTCCCTTCCTGCATGTCGTTCCCCCTCTCTCTCTCTCTCTCTCTCTCTCTCTCTCTCTCTCTCTCTCTCCCTCCCTGGTTTCTGACAATAGCCAAGGATTAAGTGAAGGTCAATATTTACCCATGGTTCACAAAGGATACAGGTGGATCAAACATTACTGTACCTTTCGTTTGTCCTGTGTTCTGAGGTATTCCAGGTGTTACAGTCTGGTGTGTGTTGATGGGACTCGGAGCGGTGGCGACATAGCTGGGGGTCTGATGAGGGACGGTGGGGTATATACTCTGTTGTGGGTTGTATGGTGGGTGTCTGACTTCATCGTGCTGATACGCGATGTTGTCATAGGTGGGAACATGAGCCTGCAGGTAGAGCGAAGACATTAAAGCAACACAACTTTCAAAAGAATTAGGGATGCGACACAAATACCTTCACACTAAGAAATCATACATGAGAAGTAATTTATATCAATATATCAATTCAAAAAGAGACGATATGATACTGAACTTACCTGATTATCATTCATGATGAAACTGGTGTCAGTGCGCAGTGAGGTAGAACGTCAAACCTGAACAAGGTTAAAATGTTACTAAACAACAAACTATTAATAAAGAACCGCCCTGTTATGATGCACACACTTTGGACTAAGTGTATGATTAATTAAAGCAATATTAATTTACCAAAATAAATTTTTCTGACAGCTTTTATGAGCATGACGAGGTCAAAAAGCTCCAGCAACACTTGCAGTATGACGATCAACTTTTTTCACTTCCTCAGCTTTTATTAGCATGTAAGATCACAAGACACACTGCAAAGAGTCAAATCAAAACAACTGTATTTGTTCATTTCTGGTGACAAATATCTCATTACAGGGGCACCAGTTGCCAAGTGGTTAGTGCGTGTTAAGTGTGCGGCCGGGGTTCAAATCCAGCCCGTGGCTCCTTCCCTGCATGTCTTTCTCCACTTTCTCTCTGCTCCTGATTTCTGACTGTATCCACTGTCCTATCTCTCAGTCAAAGGCACAAAAAATAAGTCCTTATAAACATCTTATACAAGATATCACAAGCAAAAAATAAGGTTTGGATTGCTTGTAATGAGTAAAAAATATCTCTGGAAGCAGCAAGCAAAGTGTCCTTACTGGACCTGTCTTGAAATAAGGTGTACTCCCTTATTTGGAGAGCAGGTGTTTGCTTGTTACATCTTAAAGTAAGATTTGTATCTTGACCTGTCAGGTGAGTGTGTATTATTATAAGTGTAGTGAGATATTTTTGATTAGAAACTAGAAATATTCTCTAGTTGAGATTTGGGTGTTTGCAGCACATAAAAACCCTAACTTTGTGTTTTTGCTGCTGACTGTCTCGGCCAGGTCTCCCTTGGAAAAGAGGTTCTTAATCTCAATAGAACAACCTGATTAAATAAAGGTAAATATAAAGAATTAAAATATAAAAACAACCTAAATATATCAATACTGATCTGCCCCGCCGAACAAACACTGAGTAACTTTTAACAAACAAGCAACAAGTGTATTGAAGAGCTGTTCCACATTTCTTCAGTTAATCACAAATAGAACATGTAAAATGCTCACCTCAGCAGGTAGACTCACACAAACTGTTTGAGTGTCTCTCTCTCTCTCTCTGTTTCTCGCTCTCTCCATTCCTCCATGTAATCATCAGCCATAACCACACCTTCCCTCCCGTGTGCACAGGCCAGCCTGTTGTGAGCCTCTCCGTTTACACAACACTTGACATGAGCAAACAGTCGGTATCGACTAACTACAAAACTGATTCTCGTTATTTCTGTTCAGGACTTCAGGCGAGGTTAATCAAGTGAATTTTGATATTGAATTATATAACAAGTTACCCAACGTGCTGTACAAAAACTGTGAATGTGATTCTCATGAATCATTATCCATTTTCAAATGAGAGGTTAATGGTCACTTTGCACATCACTTCAAACATTGGTCCTGATACCTGCAGATTAAATTTGAGTGTGATGCAAACTCTGACTGTGCTGCATAAGAGCAAACAGAACTCCTTTTCAAATAGTCGACTCTCTCAATAAATCTAGTGTCAAATATGCTTCTCTTTATTAAATCTGCATGTCCTTCAAATACAGCATATAAATATTGCATAACATCGAGGAAATTAAAACTTTCCATGAGTCATTAGGCAGTTTCTTTAAAGTGATTAACGTGAGTCAAAGCTGTCCCTCCTGTTAGAAGAAGGGATGGGGAAAAGGTGACGCATGTCCCTGCTTGTTTGACATAGCAGAATCTATCATACAGCTCAAGAATCGTTCAAGGTAGAAGTCAAGTGAAAAGCATATTTAGACTTGGTTCTTACTCTGTGCATGTTATTGTTGTCTCTCCTAAAGAGCAGCGTCCCCTGTGTTTAATCAGTAACGTCCATTCAAACTATTCAAAAATGCTGATGACCAAAGGACTGCGTTAATCTTTAACTCTGTGTTTGAGTTCACTTAAAGGAGAATAATGGAAGAAAAAAGACTTCCAGTTAGACGTTGTGGAACATAATGTACCAAAAAAAGTGTTAGAAAACTGTCCTTTGGATTCTTTTTTATAAATTATATAAATATGTACAGCTGAAAAAATATATATGTACAGCTATTTATATATACAAAGCTATATCTAAACAGACAGACAGACACACAGACAGACAGACAGACAGACACACAGACAGACACACAGACAGACAGACAGACAGACAGACAGACAGACAGACAGACAGACAGACAGACACACAGACAGACAGACAGACAGACAGACAGACAGACACACAGACAGACACACAGACAGACAGACAGACAGACAGACAGACAGACAGACAGACACACAGACAGACAGACACACAGACAGACAGACAGACACACAGACACACAGACACACAGACAGACACACAGACAGACAGACAGACAGACAGACAGACAGACAGACAGACAGACACACAGACAGACACACAGACAGACAGACAGACAGACAGACAGACAGACAGACAGATTACTTCCTGACTCAACCATCTCTTCGTGCTCATGACCTGCAGGTGTAGAACAGGTCACAGGTGACAGTTTAGGTCCAGCTTGAACCGTCCAGGAAATACTGACCAAGAGAGCAATAAAAACTGATTCTCATGAAGGGCTGCTACTTGTTTCCTACATTCTGAATACGTCTGTAATCACCAGCCACAATAAATCTGTTTTAATCCTTCATCCAAACTTTAAACTGTCAAATATCTCTGCCAGGAGGAAGAAAACTAACTGGTGATTTTTCAACATGTATGACTTCCTCTTAACAAAATATTAAGATGATATTAATATTTTTTAAATATATTTAAGTCTCCTTGATTAATTAGAAAAAAATTATTTGACAAAAGCTAAATAACGAGTCATGATGACATTGCAGCCATGTTTTTTTTTACCGTCTCCATGGAAACAGGGATAACACAGCCATTAGACATAAATGTTTGCTTCTCTGACACATAAATCACTGGAGGACTCTCAAATGCTCAGACAACTCTCAGGTTAGCTCCTTCGTGACGCTCTGCAAGTACAGTATGTAATTAGAGATGAACAGAACAGGGGGCTCAACTTTTTCCAAACTTTACTTTTTAATAAAACTAAATTAATAACTACATACCTGTTACTTTTTCATGCTTTCTCACAATATGTTATAACCTTGGAATAAGCACCTCAACATTCAGCTTTGATAGGTCAGGTAGAATAATTATATTTTTCCATATTTACAACCGTACATATACATACACCTTAAACATGTTAATTAAAGCTCAGGCTTTTATTCCCTTCAGTCTAATAAATCACGCTGCCTTCATGTGTGTCAGGCATCAATACCAGATAACCTTTTTAATTTAAGACTATAAAACTGTCATTTACACCAGAAAGCATTTTTACTGTGTATGAGATTAGGATATGGTGAACAAACAACCTGCTTCAATGTGGGCGAGAGAGAGAGAGAGAGAGTTAATATAATCACTAATGAGTGCTGTGCTGTCATATGGCGCTGGAGCAACATATTCTAATATCTTTAGTTGTTTAGATAGATAAAGGTTATTGTGTCCCAACAGTGACATAACTTCTCCTTTGACAATAAGGCTCAAACAATAAACACAACTTACATTAAAAACATAAAGTGCAGTACAGACATTAGAAGAGGACTGTTAAAAACAACAGCTGCTTAAAAAGGGGTATATATGATTTTATTCAGGGTGGTTATTGCAGAGAGAATTAAAGATTTTTTTTTGTAGAGGTTTTTTCTGGGCCAGAGGGACTTTGAGCTCCTGATGGCAGAAAGTGGAAGGGGTGGTGGAGGGGGTGAGAGGGGTCCTCAGGGTGGCTCTCCTGATCACAGAGCAGTCATACAGTTCAGAGAGGGTAGTTTGTTGATTATTTTTGCCAGCCTGATTAACTACATGGGAGAGTTTGGTTTTGTGTTTGGTGGTGAGGGAGTTGTACCAGGATGAGATATTAAAAGTGAGTGAATAAGTGAGTTAAAATATGTTTGGTGACATGAGAAGTCCTAATTTTCCTCATCATAAAGCATTTGTTAAAGTGTTAAAATTGTGCATGAGATAGAAAAAAATCAATTTTCCATAATTTATTAGTATCTATTCAAAAAGCCAGCACAAGCAGCAGAGTTGTCCCCGTCCCTCCTGTCACTCACTGAAGTTTAAAATGTATTTAGTCTTTATTCATATCATCGAGCAGGAAACTCGTGTGCACACAGACGAGAATCTCCAGCTGATCTTTAACCTTCTTTCTCACACAGGTACTGTATGCATACATTATTCTGTCTTGGATAGATGTTGATGTCCATCTTTATTTTTTGGTTTCTTGCTGCCTTTTCTTCTGGTATTTAAAATGCAAACAATTTCAAACACCAAATGTTTAGAGCTGTCTGATGAAAACCTGCCTTTTATTAAAATTTAAACCTGCAGCTACACCAGGCGTGTAAAAGGGACTGGGCCTTAAACTGGGATAGGCTTTACAGTAGTTTTACATTGTTGGATGTTCATACTGAATCAGGTTTCTAATAACTAAGTAGACAAATGCAGAATCACTGCTAGTTTAACGTCAGGTTTTTTTTTTTTCGAACTTGTAGATGTACCAAAGTCACAGATTTTTTCTTTACAGAAAGTAGATATTTCCGGTCAAACCTTTAGAAAACATCAACAACAATACAGTGCTTTCATAAAAACTATTTATTTAACCACTTCAACTTAAGAGTTAAATATTCATCTTTTTTTCTGCACAACGTTTCAAACAGAGGAGTGTTTTCAAGACAGGTGTGATGACGTCAGGTGAGTCGAGTCTTACTTTTTTCTGTTTGACGAAGGCCACTGGCTTTAAAGGTGTAACAGATTCTTCACAGTAAAAAGAGAGAGAGTAGCCCACAGCTAGTCGACACACACAGACTACCAAAGAGTGTTTCAGGAGGAGTAAAGTTTACAATCAGTTTTTCTACAGTTTCTGGATGAGAATAGAAGAAGCTCCGCCCCCTCCGTTACAGATGCCTGCCAGTCCGTACTGTCCCGACTTCAGGTTGTGCACCATGTGACCCACGATCCTCGCACCGGACATCCTGAAAGAGAGAAAGAGATTCAACATTATTTGTGATTTGACATCCGTTAAAGGAGCAATCTGTAAGATATCTACTGAATGAAATGATAAAGTGACCTTACTATATGATCAGACATTAAGGAAACATGCTATGTTGAAGTGCTGGCTTCTCTGCTTCTCTCCCAGATAAGAGAGCAGTTATCAGGTCAACAGGTGTTGCAGTGATGGAAGCGGGCAAGTGGTTCAGATAGAAGTGATTGTACCCGACCTAAAAAGCCTCTGCATGTTTCTAATAAGCTCCACGAGCAGAAACGTGCTCAAACTAGGATCAATATTGGAGATGATTTTGAAAAATGGAGAGAGGTTAGAACACAGAAAGGTTTACAGACTGATGCAGAGCTGGATAAACACTGAAGCTTCAGTGTCCACCACTGTGTAAGCATCGACTCTAGAGAGGAGGGGGCGGGGGGAAACAGCTCTCTACAATGTTTAGAATTGTGACAGCAGTACCCATTTTAAACACTAGGTGTCAAGAGATACATATCGCTCCTTTAAAATGATAAGCTTATATAAACTTTTTTATATTCTACAATCAATGCTCGGCATCTTTTGCTGCAATTTATGGTCTTGAGTATTTTCAAACGCTTCATACCATGATAAAAGGTTGTGAGAAGAAGTTAGTAAAATGTGACTTCCAGGTAGATTAAAAAACTGAAACACATGAAATGAATTAATCCAAATTCCACACACACACACGCACACGCAATAGTGGCAGCATGACAGGTGTCAGGCCACTTCAACGAAATTCAACGTCCCATAATGTGAATATTGTGCATTTGCACATCGCAATTGCAACGGTCGAACCATTTATCATTCAGCCCTATTCTGCAGGTTATTAAGAAAGGTTTTAGCTAACAACTTTTTTTTTTTAAACTTTGGGTCAACCTTTAACAGGATTTTCTGAACAACAACCTATAACGACAAGATCAAAGCTGCCCTCTGACACTTGAATTAACACCACACTACACGTAACATAATGAGGTCACCTAAGAACAAACAACCTGATGACAAGAAATGTGAAAAAGTTTTTTGTATCTTTATCAATAAAATATTTGATTTAAGAAACATGGATCTTCCACAACTTTTTAGGCTTTTGGCCTTTATTTGATAGGACAGTGGATGGATTAGGAAACCAGGAAGAGAGAAAGGAGTCACAGGCCGGACTTGAACCAGGGCCGCCCACATGTCGGACCACAGTCTGCGTACATAGGATGTGACCTAACCACTAGGCCATCTTTAACCCCAAAATATAAATGTTTTATTGTTTGTCTGTGAACTTTGTCAGTGTCAACCATTTATTTTTCTTCTAATCTGGATCTAAGACGCAGCACACAGTAAAGGAAGGTGTTGGAGATACTGTTCTTTTCCCGATATTTGAAGTCACAACCCAGACCTCTTCTAAAACTAAGACCAGGGGGTCTGTACGAGTCCCTCTCATCTGCTTACCCGATGGGGTGTCCCAGAGACACAGCTCCTCCGTTGACGTTGACCTTTGCGGGGTCAATGTCCAACATCTTGATGTTGGCAAGGACGACCACGCTGAAGGCCTCGTTGATCTCCCACATGTCAATATCTTCCTTCTTCAGCCCTGCTGCATCCAGGACCTGACACACACACACACACACACACAAGGTGGAGGGGTTACTAACTAGCAGAACTGCATTCACAAACAATCTGAGTATGGTTCAGGAAAGAACTCACCTCTTTGAGTTTTGTTTTTCACATATTTGGACTCTAACATTAAAATGTATTACTGCAGATACAGTAATATTTTCCCTGGGTTATGATTCAATGTCATGAAACACTCTGGTAAGTTCACTGTCCTTACAAATATGATTTATTTAATGGGTTATTTAAATAAATGAACAATAGCACAGATGCCTTAAAGTCAAAGAAAGTTCCAGAGTACTCAGAAAACAGCTAAATGATCTATTCCAAGGATCATTTCAGTGAAAATTCAAGGAATAATTTATTGGACAGAAACAGTGAAAAAGCCTAATAAATACCTGATGCCTCTTTGAATGATTTTATCCAGCTCAGCATGCTCATGTTGAAACCAATGATGACAAAATACACGACTTATTGACAGACATGATTCGTCTGAGTGACAGGTAGGCTGACAGTTTGTCAGGTGGTTTAAGGCCCGCCTCAGCTCCAGCTCTTTACTAAGTTAACTGAAAGCTAGTTTGAGACAAGTACATCATGGCGCCCACCATCGACGAGCTTTAAATTACCTCTTCAGAAACCAAAGGGTGACGTTACTCAGACTACCACCATGTTTATATACTGTCGATGGTTTTTAGACTTTTATGTGACTTAAAAAAATACCTGAAGTAAAATGAGTCTACTGGCTATAAAGTGCATTTCATTTGGAAAAGCTTGCATGTACTGTAACAGGAAGGCAGGCTTTTTAAATGCTGTAGGTACAGATTTCAAAGGCTGCTATATGTTGAGTGAGCCACCAGATGTCGCTGTGTTTGCAGAGTTTGAAGACACCAGTCTGAAATCTTTACAAAGAGAAAGCCTAACATTTTCACAAGTTATTATAGTTTTGGCGTTTGATAATATAAATATGGAATATGACTCTGTTAACAATAAGTTAAAGGACTTTGATTAAGAAGAAGACCGTGACTGACTGATTCCAGAGACTCACCTTAGGTACAGCAAATGCAGGAGCGATGGGGAAGTCAATAGGTGCAACTGCAGCATCAGCAAAAGCTAAAAAAGATGATAAGATGATAAATGAATAAAACAGCTTGCAGTTTATAAAAACAACAATGAAGATCTTGTTTTCCAAAAAGTGTCTAATGCCATGGTAACAGGAAGGGAAAAAGTCACATTAAATTAGCCAGACAAACAGATCTTTGAACTTTTGGAGTTTATTCTAAAAAAATGAAGTCACCTGAGATCTTACAGCAAGTTGAGAAATTAGTATCCCATTAAATGTGTCTCTGGTTAGAGAAAGTTCTGGATGTGAGTTTTGTGTATCATGTAAGAAAATGTTTTACTTTAACCTGTTTCATAAATTACATTCATGCTGTCTTTTTTCTGAAAACACGTTTGATTTTCCTCATTTTCAGCATTCATCTGTGTGTGTGTTTGTGTGTGTCTGCTGTTGTGTCACTACCTCAAATATATACCATCAGCCGCTGTAAGGATCAATAGCTTGGCGGACATTGGTGGTCTTCTTTTTAATATGAGGTCCCAGTGTAGCTAGCAATGAATCAAACTGGTCCACTAACATCCTGAAATACACCTGGAAGTGATCGGGATCATTCTGCAGCGTCTTATCAACAGGTCAAACTCTCCTCACTCTCGTCTTGTTTAAAGGAGAAAACAGACCGAGTGTTTACGAGACATTTAGTCTCATATTGCCAATTTGAGCAATCAATAGAAAAACAGCCGCATTGCACTCAGTGTGCAAGGTTTCTGTGTGTGTGTGTGTGTGTGTGTGTGAACGTACACACAATCCTGGCCAGTGGAGTGACGTTGAGTCTCTTTGCAGCGTCTGCCGTCATTAAAACGAGAGCTGCTGCTCCGTCATTCAGGGTGCTGGCGTTTGCTGCCGTCACCGTTCCTGAAAAACAAAAAACAAGAGACCAATCAAAACAAACGTTCAGGGTTGAAAAGTGTGATTATAAATTTAGTTAATCAGAAGCAGAAGAGAAAAGTAAAATAACAAAGATCATGAGTAATTACAGGACAGAAGGGAAGGAGAGAGCAAAAATGTGTACTAAAGTCCTCACATGTATTCAAAGGAGGGAAGAATGAAAAAGTAAATAAATGAATGACAGTAACGTGTCCTCTTTGTTTACCGTTCTCTTTCTGGAACACCGCCCTCAGTTTGGGAACTTTGCTGAAATCGACTCTCCTCCACTCCTCATCCTCAGACACCACCACGTCAGGTTTGCCTTGAAAAAAACAACAACAAGCAAACGTTAAATACGCTGTGTTGATTATAAACCAAAGGACAGAACGCCGCTCTGTACCTCTCTGAGGAATGCTCACAGGTACGATCTCCTTGGCAAGCACGCCGGCCTCGTACGCTGCTTTGCTGCGGCTGTATGAGCTGATGGCGTACGCGTCCTGCTCCTCTCTGGTGATGCTGCAGTTCTTCGCTGTGTTCTCTGCACAGTTTCCCTTTTAGAGACAGAAGGACACAAGCAGCAGAGATGAAGTTACACTTTTATCACAAGTGTTACAAACTGACACGAGGAGGTTTGATGAGTCCTCTTAGAAATGATTTCTAGTCCACAAAACTTTTTCAAATATGAAAAAAAAAAAAAGATCCCCTTGGATATTTATACTACTTTGTATTTTATTTCTCCAGAATCAAGCCCTGCACCAAGTCTTAACACAACCCCTTATTGTCAACACATATACAGAGAGAATTTGACATATTGGTGGTGAAAAGAGAGAGGAGGTCCATGGTTACCATGTGGAATTTGTTGTAGACATCAGTGAGCCCGTCTTTGACGATGAGGTCCTCCATCCTCACTCCTCCGTAGGCTGGAGTTTCTCTGGGCATCACATAAGGTACGTTTGACATGCTCTCCATGCCTCCTGCCACCATGACATCCTGAAAACACACAAATCCTTTTCACACAAGCACCCCTGAAAAATCATTAAGATTCATGACGGGCTGCCGTGAAATCTTCTCTGGAAGTCTGTAATAACATAAGAAGGACGCAGTGGAAGACAAGGTGTGATATTTACAACATACCAAGGTGGTAAATGAAGCAACAGAGTCCAACACTAAAGTGACAGTATTTGCATTTTTATTAAATCTACTTTAAATTTAGCATAGAATATGAGCATAGAGCAGCATTCACAACATGCAAAAAGAGAACATTGATCCAAGGATATAAACAACATCACCATCTCCTGTATGCTCACTATGGATTTGACTGAATATTACCAGCTGTGTCAGCATATCTATCTCATTACTTACCTCACCCTGACTTCATATAGACATGTTATTAGGGTGCTGGCAGGAAAGATTTGGGGTAAAGTCATATGTAAAAAAATTGCCATTTGTTTAAACCTGCAGCTCAACCTGAATATTTTGGGACATTTTCTGGAGTTTAGTGCGTATTAATAGACAGACATACTACTTATCTACCTACAGCAAAAACTTTGTTTTTCAAAGTTTGTCTGGAAATAAACCCACATCCCTGCAATTGTGTGTGATGGTAATATATTTCATTTTCTTCCATAAAATAAATATTCCATTTGTCAAACAACTTGTAGATGTCTGGTTTTAGTCTTAAAGATACAATATGTAACTCTGACACCTAGTGTTTGAAATGGGTACTGCAGTCTAAATTCAAAACGGAGAGAGCTGTCTGCCCTCCCTGCTACCTAGAGTTGATGAGCACGTAGGTTGCCATGTCACGGACACTAAACCTGTCTGTGTTCTAACCTCTCTCCATTTTTCAAAAGCATCTTCAATATTGATCCTAGTTTGAGCAAGAGCCTAAAAACTGCCTACAAAAAACAAAACATTCAGGACCAGAATCTAAAGTTAGAAGGAGGACATACTGGCTGCTGCATTGTGTCAGCACTTCAACATACCATGTGTCCTTAATGTCTGATCAGATAGTAAGGTCATTTTTTATAATTTCATTCACTACATATCTTACAGATTGCTCCTTTAAAGTGAAGTCTTTAGTGACTATAATCTCTTAACAGTGTCATAAATCTAAATGTAAACAAAGCTTGTTTTGGGTCATAACAAAGTGTGTGTGTGTGTGTGTGTGTGTGTGTGTGTGTGTGTGTGTGTGTGTGTGTGTGTGTGTGTGTGTGTGTGTGTGTGTGTGTGTGTGTGTGTGTGTGTGTGTGTGTGTGTGTGTGTGTGTGTGTGTGTGTGTGTGTGTGTGTAACACTTAATCTACCTGGTGTCCACACATCAGACTCTGAGCTGCCAACATGATGGACTTCATGCCAGAGGCACAGACTTTGTTGATGGTTGTTGCTGGAGTGCCGAGGGTCAAGCCTGAAGATAGAATCACAGACATGAGAGAATTTAAGAACAAAATCATGAATAAAATGTTCTGCCTGCCTCTCTGTCACACTTTCAAAAGTCAGCAGTATGCTCAACAATGTCAAAAATTCATTCAAATAATAAATACAAGGACTCGTCACTGGGAAGCTGCTAGCTCCTGTTTTGCTTATTTCATAGCCTTTGACCTGCATGTACTGTAGGATGTGTGGATCCCCCCCTCACACCTCCAGCAATCTGTAATATTGACCCCCTCCATTCTTCATTTTAAAGTCTCATCTCAAAACTCAAACTGGCATATTCTGTATTATCATTATCCATCCTGTCTGATATTCATTTTATCAATGTATTGTTACTCTGTTGCTCATTTTTATCTCTGCTTTGTAAAGCGAACTTGAGTGTTTTGAAAGGCACCTTTAATTAAAATATATTATTATTATTATTATTATTATCCAGATTACAGATGTAAACATTGAAGCTGTCTGCTGTAGAAGGGGAAAGAAATAATAATCCATCTCTCTGTGTCAAAAGTATTAATACTTCAATAATTACTTGTTATCACAGATTCAAAACATTACAATCTCTTTCTTAACACTCACAGATGCCAAAGTACCAAAGCTTCTAAGCAGGTTGGTTAGAAAAATTTTACTAGCTCTGTGCAGAAATGTCTGATCTTATGGATTTGAACCATTTTTGCTTATAATATTTTAATTGCAAGTACTTCCTGTTTTATTCTTGCTGTGCTCTTGTTTTATTTGTTTCTTGCCTCTTTTCTATGTACCTCGGTACCATTACAAATGAGGGTTCTCAATGTGTTTTCTGAGGATTAAAACAAAATAAATGATGATGATAAGAAGTTCAAAAGTCTGATTGAGTGATAACTTTGCAGCTATTTTTCTGCACATCAATATTTGTCATTATTAAGGATGAGAATAAAAAAAAAAGGTTGTGTCTTACCTGCTGCCAGCAAGGCTTGTCTGGTGGGGGCTTGTCCTTCTCCTGCCTGAAGAACATTTCCCATGTAGACTTCCTTCACCTCTTCAGGAGCAATTCCTGCACACAGGGAACATTAAATCCAGTCACTTAATATTCGTAGCCTTTTTCTTCTCTTAGCAGCATACTCGGAAAATGAGAAAACTGAGGTCATTTGTTTAATTTCTTATATAAGCTGAGCCATGCTTCACCAGGTGACGATAATGAACAGGTAAAGATACTTCTACCTGAACAAAATGAACCATCTGAACTGACCTGCTTTCTGTATGGCTCCCTTGATGGCAATGGAGCCCAGTGTGGTGGCTGGAACTGCTGCCAGGCTGCCTCTGAAGGAGCCCATTGGAGTGCGGACTGCGCTGACAATGACCACTTCCTGAAACCAAAGCAATTCAAAACGTGCATCGAAGTGTGCTGCTCCAACATTTAACTGTGGTCAGAATTTAAAATATGTGCTGCTGTACTTACATTGAGTGAAGGGCGAGATGAGTACGTTCTTGAGACATACTTGTGAGCCTAAAGAAGCAGAAGAATCAAAATTAGAAACACTGTATGGTCACTGGTAGACTTTCCCCCCCAACATGATACAGTATGAAATGCCTCAAATATACAGAGCACACCTGAAGAGACTGCCAGCTGAGACGGAAATGATATACTGATTTATCCCCCCTGTATCGTGGTGCATAATGTATTAGAAAAACAAGGATAAATGTTGAGAGATTTGTGCATATGAATTATGCAGATTTAGGATTCCCTTTTTATAAATTGATCATTCCAGTATTTTCTGCTCTTCAACTAAAACTTAAAACAATTCTGATTAAAGTTATTCAAGGTTTGCATCAGAAATGTATGAGCTAACTTTATGCAAACAATAACAGCAGGCTTGGCAGCTAACATTAGCAACATTACGACGAAAACGGAGCTAATATAGATCCATAACTTTGGTGTTGTGTCAGTGAAGCTGACATGTACCTGTCACAGGTTAACATCATGACCTCTTGTAGGCTTTTTACAAGTTCAGTTAAGCTAGCTGCTGCTGCTGCTGCTGCTGCTGCTGCTGCTGTTGTTGTTGTTGTTGTCTTGACTTTCTTTATTGAGAAGCAGACATTGAGTCATGTGTGATATTCAAGCGTCTAATAAACACCTGCAGCGGTTCTCAGGTGTTCTCATGTTGTAACATTAGTTCATTCAAGGACGCTCGACAGACACATAACACAGTTAGCTCAGCTGCTTTAATATGAGGGCCTTGTGTTTAAAGCTAGCAGAAATGTTGCTGAATTTCGCTTTCGTGTGCAAAATAACAAAAAAGCAGAGAATAAAAGCCAGATATGTTGAAGTCCCTCACTTACCAGACGTTTACAGACACCGTGCATGTTTAAAAGTCCACTGGATGACATTTTGGACAGCAGAGAGGACTCACACACTTTCAGACCGCTTCACCTTCAGCCATGCAGCGGAGGGATAAATACATCAGCCAATCACAGTGAGAGGTGTGCTCCGTGATGTCATCGCTCGCTGGCTATGCTCGCTGGGCATTGTGGATATTGAAGTTTAACCAATGAAACGACTGTAAATTAAAAGTTTAGTCAAAATGAGTTTAAAGCCTTTCAGATATGTTTTTTTTTTTTTTTTTACAATAACAACGTGAATTAAATTATTGACTTTGATATACCTAACCATATTCTTACCATAACCTCTGCTTTTTCAAATGCACATTATTAAAAGTTGAATAACATGTCAAATATATATATATATCATGTCCCTTCTTTTTAGTTTGTTGTTGTTGTTGTTGTTGTTGTTGTTGTTGTTGTTGCTGTTGTTAGTCCTACTTTATAGCTTTTTGCACTTTCAAGTGACTTGCAGTTGGATTAGACTTTTGATACCATGCAGTGTTATTGATTTGAATGTGTAATCTCTTGGGATGAATCACACAGTTTTTGTGTGTTTTGATGGTTTATTTATTAATTTATGTGCAACACCCACTACTTGTGTTCGTCACATGGATGAACATGCATTACAGTAGCTCCAATTCCAACATTTAAAAACAATGTGCTGATGCATCAGTGTTTTTAATCTTATGACCTAATCATTTATATTGATACTTAAAAACATGGAGCTGATAATACCTCTGTACATGAGGATTTTTAATCAATTATCTTCACTTCAGAGAATTTAGTCAAACTTAAAATGATCAGAAAAATCCACATCAGCATAAATCTGCATGATAAGAAATGACTGGACAGAAACCATGTTTGACAAAACATATTTAATGTGTTTCTTACATTTTGTGGTCACTTTAAACTTGAGGCTAGAGTGATACTACGATGACCACGTCCACCTTTTATTTACTGTCTATCACCTCACATAAAAACTAACACAACATGCAGGCATTATAAAGAAGCAGTTCATCTACTCTTGATGTTTTGCACTTTAAAATCTGGTTCATTGATGCATAAAAAGAGATAGCAAGTAGATGTCTTATTACAGAATGCTTTTATTTATTATGTACTAAACTCTACAGGGAAAAAAACATGAAAAGCTACTCAGGAGTAATTGAAGAAGACATGAACTGTCATCTGTTATTGTGTGGTAACATGTTTTTGCGAGTGTGTGCATGTGTCTGTATGTGTGTGTATGCGTGTGTGTCTTTTTCTGTGTCTCTGGTCTTTGTTTCTTTAATTGCAATCCATCCACCCATTGTTTAACATAGTGCGAATCACTCGTTTGCGCTCGTAGTGGTACTCGGTCTGTCTGAATCCAGATGAAAAGTACAGGTAACCTGAAATGACAGATTCATCATCGGTATCTGCCAAAAAGGAACTTAATATCCTCCTTTTCAGGGATCGATGAATGACTTTTACTCACCTCTGTTCTGAAAAGCAGAATCCACATTGTAGCCGATTCCACTCAGCTCAATGCTGATGGTTTTTGGATAACCGCTGTCCATTCTGCCTAGCATTTCATTGTAGCTAAAAGGGAAATACATGGAAGTGTTTCTCAATATGCATTATCTTTCTATACCATATGTTCAGATTCATGGGTCCTCGAGACGACTCACCTCCAGTATTTTCCCCTCACAAAGATCAGGGTTCTACTTGTGAACGGCACATAGACAGCAGCATCCACCTTGGTGACGGATGAGGGGAGGTCAAAGTCGCTGATAGGTTTGGGATAACCAGGAAGGACAGTGTTCCCATTGATCCCCCAGTAGTGATCCCCTGTGAAGAGAAAAGGTCAAATTTGTTCTTAAAAAATAACCTGAGCATAACTTGTATATTAAGATGGATGGAGCTACAGCTGCATGCGAGTGAAGCCAAAAGATTAGAGCTCCCCCTGCTGACTGGCTGCGGCCTCCTCCATGTTAACAGATGGTACATGGGTCAAACTATAAAACTAAAATACATGTCAAACAGATTTTTGTTAGAGAGAGAGATCAGAACATGTCATAATAGTTTTTATAATGCTGATTTATGTCCAGGTGTTCATTCTTCTATTGTAGTTTAGCTTCAATTAGTTATTTAATGCAAAAAGAAATGTGGGTGTAACGTCATGATTGACAGCTCTGTTGACAAACAGGACTTTTAAAATAGATTAGCAGAGTAGAGAAGGAAACATAACTAACAATACAGTCATTAAACTTTCCATCGCCATAGAGTGTCTGCTCCCAACTGACCTGGATCTTTTTTAAGTTATTTTTTGGGCCTTTGGGTTATTTTTTGGAAATGTTGAGACGAGAGAGTGGGGGGTGACATGCAGCAGAGGGCCGAGGTCGGACTCGAACCCACAGCCAGAGGGACAAGGAGCGCTAGGCTATTTGCACTCCCGACCTGAGGGATCTTTACCTTTTCATAGTAAGTGTAACTTTGGTCACCAGAAGGAGAGGGATGTGCATTTTGCAGAACGAGCCAGAATCCAGTCTGTGCATGTCTAAGCTTCAAATTACATTACAACACAATCGGTCAGTGTCTGTCACAGGCGTATTTGATTCTAAAAATGTACTTAAAAGGGCTGCTTTCTTAAACACGTCTTTAATAAAATGCATTGTATAGAAATCAAACTAAACCTTGTCTCAGGTTTTTTCTAAATGGCCGACAGGGAAACCCAGTGCACAGCCTAAATCAAAAGTCTGTGGCACACAAAATAACTTTACTTTTTTGTGAGCGAACAAGTGCTGGGCGAACCTGAGGAAGCTGCAGGCGACACGTGCCACAGACTTTTGATTTACTTGTCACAGGTCTGTTTAGGTGTCATGCTCAGAATCATTACTGTAAACTCATGATGAAACCATTTCTTCCCCTCCTCGAGCAGTCCTGTCTGGACAATATGTTATGTAAAAATAACTTCTTATGAGAAAACATAAATGCAGATTCAGATGTATCAGTCGCGGGTCCATACAGCTAGGTGTTATCAGGTGACTCATTCCCTTCTTCAGAACCTTTCAACATTTAAATTCACAAAAAGACCACTCCTCAAAAAGCCACTTGTTGGCTTATTAACTGAACTAATTTTGTACCTTCAAAGAAAATGACTGTGTTTGTTTTCTTGTACTCATAAGCGGCATCCACTTTTTTGATTCCAGGCCACACAGACTCGATTTTCTCCACACTGATGCCGTCCCAGGAGCTGCCTCTCTTCCAGAAATGTCTGACAAAGACACAAGAAAGCACTTTATTCTATGATACAATGAAAGCAGCCAAGTATTAAAAACAGCTATTAACTTTCATTTAACTGCCTTATTTGTGCAGCTTTTTTTGTTGAACTAAAATGACAAAAAAAAGACAACCAACAAACAACAATCTGAGAGTCGCATTAATATATCGATTCTGTCAGGTGAAAGGTGAGGCCAGCTGCATTTATTTTATTGTTAATATAAGTTTGGACACCATTTTCAAACTCCTCTGATTAGTTATAGGCCTTTCGGTTTGTATCTGTTTTTTTGTTTTTTAACCTTTATTGGATAGGGCAGAGAGAGACAGGACATTGAGAGTAGAGAGGCGAGATGAACCTGTGAATAAAAGTCTCACCCGTCTTTGAAGAAGTGAAGGCTTCCGTTGATGGAGGTTGCAGCGTCAAAGATCAGGTACCTGCTGCACCGGTCTGGAGGAGGCTCTGATGTGGGTTCAGGATCTGGTTCAGGGTTGGGTTGTCTTTTTGGTGATGGCATTTTGGTGGGCTTTGGGTTTGGGTCAGGTTTAGTTGTCGGTTGAGCAGATGTTTCCCTGGCTCCTTTAGAAAGAACGAAGACGAGTCCATGTAGGTAAATGAGGATTTCTGTAAATATGAGTCTGTGAATTAGAATAATCTCTCACCATAGAGAGCCTGGACTCCCTGTCTGTCATCCTCAGACAGCTCGTAGTCCTCAGTGGTCACATACTGGTAGGTGGGAAACATCAGGGCGGTCTTGACCTTAGAGTGGCCTAATCCCAGTGCATGTCCTAACTCATGTGCTGCCACCAAGAAGAGATTTGTTCCTGCAGAGACACAATGATACAGTTCCTGCGGGTCATCTCAATTACAAAGATTCCCTAAGGAGGAATGCTGGTACTGGTAGAAGGAATGATGAAAAACAGTTTTGAAAATGCTTCAAAAAAAAAAAAAGCTTATATTTCATCCTCCGACAGCCTTGAAGGTCCGTCCCTGCAGTGATCCTTTCTGAAATTGTCAGGCACTGTTTTTCAGGTGAAAATGTATTTAGCAGCTTATCAAGGAAGCAATCTACTTAAGCAAGTCCAAGCATGCTTGAGTAGATTAGTCATGTAGACCTCAAAATGTGTAGAATAGTGCCTAGGTTAAAAAAAACAACAACAACTAAATCCCAAGTACCTGATGAGGTTAGAGTCCAGGTTTCATCTTCATCAAAATGGGCGTCCCCTCCAAGGCCCTCACCGGGAGAGAAAGCGTGAGCTAAGACCCCACCCTGTCCATCGAAAGGAGCAAAGTCCTCGTGGTCTGTTTTTTTTAGAAAAGCAGAGTTGTAGTTTAAATTAGATAAGGCATTTTCTTAAAAAGTACAGAGGACAGATAAGTACCTCGACCCTTGAATTTCATCATCATGTCAGCCGTTCCACTGTAGACCTGTTTAAAATCCAGAGGAATGACGTCGCTGTAGACTTTCAGAGCCTTGGCTATGGCGGCGTCCACATCACGTTGATTCAGGTCTGGAGTGTATTGAGTTATCCTACCATGATGTTAAAGTGCAAATGGTTTAGAAAAACACACACCAGAATCTTCATTGTATTATGAAGAATTCTGAAGAAACGTGTTGATTTATGTTTTAGTGTCATGCATTACCTGTAAGTTATCAAAGGCTTGCGCCACTTGGGATTACCCGCAAAATGGCTGTATCTGGTCACATCCGTGTAACCACAGCGCGGTTGAGCCATCACTTCTATGGTATTTGAGTCCAGCTGACCCGTCACCTCCAGCCCAAAGAACTCCTGCATTTTTCTCAGAGTGTCATCAAAAGAGTCCAGAGAGCTGCGCCAGATGCTGTTGGGCGCACTGACACCGACGTCTGAGAAATACTGAGACAGATACTCCTGGACAGAGGACAGGGAGAAGCAACACATGATCAGTCTCTCTGGTGATACATGGACGTATTCAAATGGAAATGAAGAATGTTGAGAAAAGTGAAAAGATAATGTATAATTCAAATTTAATTCAAGGTTGTAACCCTTTTGATTTCAAATCTGTATCACCTCATCACAGAGCTGATGCTAAAACAACATTTTGGAACTCCGTCCCACAAACCATTCGTGACATTAACCCTCTCCCCACCTTCAAATCAAAGCTCAAAAACATCTTTTTAGATTTGCCTATTGTGTCTGACCGTGCCCTTTTTTTACTATTGCTGTTTTTGTGTAGTTGATTGTGTTCTTGTCTTAACTCACTGTGTTACTGCTGTTTCTGTAAGGTGACCTTGAGTGACATGAAAGGCGCCCATAAATAAAATGCATTATTATTATTATGTATTATGTATTTACATGCTGATGTGGGGCATCAGTAGCTCAGTCTATAGGGACTGGGGTTGGGAACTGGAGTTTTGCACCGGCTCAAGTCCCGGCTCACTAAATCTGGAAATTAGTGTGGTAGCTGGAGAGGTGCCAGTTCACTTCCTGAGCACTGTGGAGTTGCCATTGAGTAAACACGAAACGCAACCCACCAGCTCAGGAGCCCCCCCCCCCCCCCACACACACACACACACTCTGATATCTACCCATTAGTGCATGTCCACAGGATCCTGTTTGTGCATGTGTGTGTATTTCAGCCTATGTGTGTGTAGCATGTTCGACAACAGAGTAAAAAATTCAATTTCCCCTCAAGGGATTAAAAAAGTACAAGAGTTTAACCACTAAAATAACTAAAATTGCACCAACAAAAGAGAATTACATGTTTTTAAGAGTGGATCATTTTTGAGTGATTGATGGAACAGTCAGGGTAAACTGTAAACGTGCAACACTGACACCTCCAGATGAGGTCAAGATACAGATTAGAAAGGATGCATGTGGAGATATTTCTATGTTCTGCAGAAAACCTTGACACATGTAGCCCCAAATTCAGATGTTCATTTTGTCCATAAAGGCATAGGTAGGAAATCAATATGTCTGAAAGTTGGTTGTGTATGTTTTCCTTCCTGTCAAACAATCAAAAAGGGGATCTTTTCTATTTGACTTTGTTGAAAGAGAATGGATCTTGCAGAATCACAAAGAAACACTGATTGACCTTCCTTTTCTTACACATCAGGGTGATGTGACATCAACAAACAGCACAACAATTCAATCACTGGAGCGTCACATGTTTACCTGCGCTTTAGAGATCTCTTCTTGGCTGGGTGTAGGGAGCGGCACAGCTCCACAGAGAGCCACAATCACAACTATCATCAGAGGCAGTGAACCCTCCATGATGACTCCTTTTCACTCCTGCAGAGAAGATCAAATCCAGCAACTCGTCCTCTCAGGTTCTGCTCGGATGAAAAGTCCTGACGCACTATTCGGTTATTCCCTGAAACTGTCGATGTCACTGTTTTGGTTGGGTGGTAATGAGCAGGAAAAGATGCATGATGGGGCAATAAAACATTCCTGCAAGAGTCTGAACATGAACAGTCCAAATAAATAAAAAAAGATCAGGTAAGAAGTTTTGTGATGACAACAGGATTGAGTGTGTATGTATGTGTGGGGGTGGGGATGTGGGGGTGTTAGGTGTTGGAGAAGGTTAGGCCTGCATGAACATGATGGACATGAACCATCCAAACATTGTTATGTATCAGATAAGTGTTTCAAAAAAAACATCAGACTATGTGTCTTGTCTTGTCAAAGTAAGTTGTTGTGGAATGAACATTGTACTCAGTTCTTCATTTAATCACATTTAAGTATTAACTTCATGGCCTATTACAACTGAAAACACGCACAATCCCTGTCTGTTGCTTTGACCTTGTTCTAAATTACCTGATGTGAGTATTTCAAGGATTTAGGATGCAAGACATATCAGAAATTCAAGGCAACATCAAGAAATGTGGCTGCTCCACTGTTGTCATGTTGCCAGTGCCTGCAGCCTTCTCCGAGCTAATTTCCTGTTTTTTTTAACATTTGAGAAGAAGAAGAAGAAGAATACTTTATTAATCCTGCGAGGGGAAATTCTGTTTTTCACTCTGTTGACATGCTACACAAACATGAACAAACAGGATCCTATGGCCATGCACTAATGGAGTGATGTCAGAGTGACAGCGAGCGCTCCTGAGCTGGTGGGGGTATACCTCAGTGTTTGCTCAAGGGCACCTCGGCAGTGCTCAGGAAGTGAACTGGCACCTTTCCAGGAACTAGACCAATTTCCCAACTTGGTCCACACCGGGACTTCCCAACCCAAAAGTTCCTACAAACTTAGCTACTGCCGCCCTCAAAACCTAAATACATCAAAGCAGCTGATGCACAATTTAACATATGTGTAAATGTGTGTGTTAAACTACACCTGTAGGCTATCTGTCGGAGATAAGATTATTTCTCAGCCTTGGTGTAGGAGCCTAATACATGAGGGTCTTAACTTTTTGTTTCCTCTTTACCTTGCTGCAGTTATTAGAGGTCGTTGTCTTCAATGCTTGGTTTAGGGTTGACTGCCCTACAGAGAAAAGTTTCATCAATATATTTTGTATTTCTAAATCTGACTGACTGTAAAAAGCCCAGTCAAACAAAAGCTTAAGAGGTGGAAGAGCCATGAATTTGATCTAAGATCTTTTATTTTACTAACCATGCAGGATGGCTAAAATGGTTTGTTGCCAACATTAATACAAAGTAAAAAATAAGAGCGTACAGAAAACGTGTATAAATAATATAAAACTTTATTGACACATTCTTTGAATTCTGCATTGTTTACAACTCTTGCTACATTTTATCATTTGAATATAAAAAACAATGATTTCACAAATAGAAATATTTAAAGTGTACTATTCAACACTGTATACATTCATTCTTATTCAAAGCGGCTACATTAACAACATGCAGCTATAAACTGGTCTAGAAGTTTGAGCAACGCAGGAAGTAGCTGTTCCTCAGCACACGGAACAACCTCCCGCTCCGCAGGTGGTACTCAAACATGTACGGTCCACTGTAGATGTAAGAAAAACCTGCGGGACAGACACTCAGGGTTACTCTCAGTACTTGTTGATTTAAAGAGTTACGCTCATTCGCTTTCTGGCTTTAGAGAAACAATAAATGTTTTTCTCAGTTTTGTATTTTTGATGTTAGCTTTGAATGCTACCCACCTCTGTACTGGAAAGCTGCAGTCACCTTCCCCGTCAGACCACTGAAGGTCTGATCCACCCTCTTCGGAAATCCCTGATCCATTCTCCTTCTGGCCTCGTCGTAGCTGAAGACACACAGGCAGGAATTAGATTCATGCATACGCCATTCTGTAAACCTTCATCATACGTAAACGACCTAAATATCAAATGTTCATACTGCTTAAACAAACCTGAAGTAATTGTTGCCCACGAAGAACAGAGTCTTTCCTGATTCTGCGTCATAGAGGGCTGCATCAATTTTCGTCACACCTCTTGGAAAACCAAAAATGGTTAGCTTTTTAGGATAGCCACGCACGGGTTTATAGCCACTGAAGGCCCACACCTTACGACCTGCAGACAGACAAATAATTTAACAACATAGAGCAAAGAAAACTAAGACTAACTTTAAAGTGGCATCAGATTGATGCTTCAGGTAGGTAAGGGGAGAAGACGCACCTTTAAAGAGATAGATTCTGTCCGACTGTCGGCTTTCATAAGCGGCGTCGAGATTGGAGGGAGCATTGGGCCAGAAGCTTGTGATGAGTTTCTGCTCAGCTGTCACACTCTGAGGGTTGCTACGCCAGAAGAAGCTTTTGAAAAAACAAGAACATAACCATTATGCACACGATCCAGACCAAATGGTTTCAGTTGTTTAAACAACCTGCTGCTCAGTGTGTCTCCTACCTGTCCTTGAAGAAGATCATCTCTCCCCGCAGGGTGGTGACAGCGTCTAACACCATGGTGGAATCACAGGAATCAGGGGTGGTGGGGGGCTCAGGTTCAGGACGAGCAGGATCCTTTTCAGAGTTTGGACCTGCAGGTTAAGTACAATTTAGTGATTAACAACAGAGCATTAGTTTGAGTTTTTCAGGGATCATTTTCAAGTACTTTTTTTTGGAAACCTGCACCAATAGATGCACCAATATAAGAGTACTCACCATAGAGAGACTGGATTCCGTTGACGTCGTCCCGCGGCAGCACAAAGGTGTCAGGGTTTCTGTATGAGTACGTGGGGTACATGAGAGCACCAGGATCATCAGAGTGAGACAATCCCAGAGAGTGACCGAACTCATGGGCGGCCACCATGAAGAGGACGAATCCTACAGGGAATACAGATACACTTGTTCAAGTATCCAACTTTTTGTTTTTAGCTTAGATGTATCCATCAAACTTCTTATTATGGCACTGGACTGGTGGTGGAAGGACTGTCCCAACATGTGGTCATATGGATTTTATAAAAATGAATCAGTAAGATGTAAGGATTTATCCTTAACTGCATAGGACTGCTCAAAGAGATGCTGTAAATATCAATGCTGTTCTCAGCATATCAATTATATTAAATATATTTTCTAAACTGCGTATGGGTTAGCAATGTATTGCCTTGCTTGTCTTAAAAAAATTGCAATGCATTCAATCATAATCATAACATGTAGGATCACACAAACCAAAAATATCCTACTTGAGAACAAGCATGTCATTCAGCACTTGAGCAAATGCATTAATGTACTCACCTCTGTCTGAGCGGAAAGTGAAGGTCTCATCATCATCAAAGTGAGCATCTCCGCCAATGCCAGGAGACGGGGCGAAGGCGTGGGCCAGAGTGTTACCAGGGCCATCGAAGGGGTAATAATCACCATGTGCTGTTAGAAGGAACATTTACTCATGGTCAAGTTTTCAACAGGACTTTTTTTTTACCAAGAATGTGTGTGTCGCTAAAGCATCGAAACACCATTTATAATAATGTACAAAAACAACAGCTAGAAAAAATGTGGCTCAGAGATGGCTGCAAGCTGTGACATGCCATAAGTGGAAAGATTGTTGTCTCCTTTTTTTTTTCAGGATACACTTATGTAACCTAAGTTGTGGTTGATTGCCTGTCATTAAAGGATAAATGGCACTCAAATATGAACAACAGGAAGTGCTGTATGTGTTTTTACGTTTAAGGCGCTTTTTGGGGGTCTTTTGGATTTTTTCTCCTTAAATAGAAAATTTAATCAAATGCAAACTAGAGTTCTACTTAGATGCCTCAGAAACTTGACATGATTTGACTTCATCCATTTCAAAAGTTTGGTAAATGGTAAACGGACTTAAGCTTGTAAAGCGCTTTTCTAGTCTTCTGACCACTTAAGGTGCTTTTACACCGCAGAGTCACACCTTGATGTCTGCTGTGTAAAGTGTCCATTAGTATATTAACTAATCCCATTCATACACATTCATATGCCGCCACAGGAGTAACTTCGGGTTAAATGTCTTGTCCAAGGATGCATCGGACATGTTGCTGTAGGAGCTGGGGATCGAACTCCCCTAACCCTAACCCTAACCCTAACCCTAACCCCCATCGGGATTCAATAAAGTTATCTTATAATTTACTTTATGTGAAATATCAACTTTAAAATGCTGCTCATGTCTACGGAGATAATAACATATGGACTAATGATGTAAACCAACATGGAACCATCTCTTTAAAATTAGTATTTTAGTTTTTTAAATTGCAGCACTTCTACTTGTAATTGAGTATCTTTCTTTAAAATATGGAAGGACTGCTCTGATCTGAGTGCAACATTGTAGTACATATTTTACAACTGAAAGATATTTCAGACTCACATCTGCTTCCAAAGGAGATCATGATGTCAGCGATGCCGCTGTAGATCCTTGTGAATCTCAGAGGAGTGACATTGGCCCAAACCTGAAGCGCTTTCTCTATGGAGTCATCAATTTGTGATACAGACATGTCAGGTGTGTAGTTCTCGATCCTGTGGAAGGAAACGAGGAATACGTTATTTTTTAAACAAACCTGATGAAAAATAGCTCTTTCACACATTTTATTTATTTAGATCAATCACCTGTAGGTGAGCCTGTTTGTCTGCCACTTGAGGTTGCCTCCAAAGGTGGAGAATCGAGCAATGTTTCCGTCTGGAACGCCGCAGCGGGGCTTCTTCATCATTGCTAAGGTGTCTGCATCCAGGTTGCCGGTGATCTGGAGACCAAAGAATCTCTGCATCTCACTCAGCTTCTTGGTCACAGGGCTGATTCCTCGTCTGATAGTCGGACCCGTCTCCTCCGTAAGGTTGAAGAAATTCTTCAGGTAGCTCTGTTATAAAAGAAGCAAGGAATTTCATACCCAGTGTTTGGTTATGATGTGTATTACTTAAGCACATCTTAAATGCAAGCATAGTGAAAACGCATGCACGACAAGTCACAGTAAAGACTCTTACCTCTGCAAAACCTTCATCCTGCAC